GCTAGTAGAAGATACACGTTAAGTGACTATATGCTTCTTTTAAAAATAAAAATAAAAATTAAAAAATCGATATATGTATACAAAGAGCTTCAGTTGAAGGATATCCTGATCTAAACCATTGGATATTCTCTCAAAGATAATTTCTATATTAAAAAAACACTTGAATCCGAAACTATTTGATCATTCAATTATATGGTTGTTATTATAGTTTTTTTTTCTTGAAATTTAAACAAATAAACTATATAATCATATATGGTGTATAAATTATATAATGAACAAAGAATACTGGATACACCTTATAACCAAAAAGAAGAATTGGTAATAAGCTCATCAGCAACCCCTATGTGATTAATTACAAGAAATACAAATGGATCAAAAACCTAGAGATATATTTAGGAAAACCCAACAAGTGGAGCTGCTTTCCCTATCTGAAGAATCTTCAAGTCATTCTCTAATGGCGTCAAGTTGAGATCCAAACACATAACCCTCCTACCGCTATTTGTCTTCTTCAAAACTTGAAACATTGGCGCAGGCTGAGGGCTCAGGCTCAGAGAGTTTGAGTTAGAATCAGAATACTGACTATTATTATTATTATTATTATTGCTCAAGGCTGATCTGTGCCTCCTCATGTGACCCCCCAAGGCCTGCCCTATAGCAAATTCCAGCCCGCATATGTTGCACTCGTGGGTTTTAGGTTTTGGTGGTGATCCTTGTGACTGGCTCTGATCTGAGCCGTTGCTACTATTTCCATCTCCTGGCCCCATTAGTCTCGGCTTCTTGTGGCTGGCCCTGTGGCCGCCGAGGGCCTGGAAGGAAGGGAACTGGCGGTTGCACGTCTTGCACTCGAAAACCCGGGTGGGGGAGACGGAGAAGTTGTCGTAATGGTGGTGGTCGTGGCTGCCACGGGAGAGTAGCATCAAGCAGTTGGCCATGGTTAGGCTGCGGTCAAGCTCTCTCATTTCTGTGATGCTCCTCTTCATGGTCATGTGCAAGCAAGAACACAAGAGATTAATTAAGTGCTAATTGAAGACTTGATGTATTTGGGATGGAATGTTAAAATGAACAAAGGAATGGAACATTTGGGGTTTGGGGGGTTCGGTATATATAGGGGAAAGTTGGCCACTGAGATATTAGACTTTTCATATATGTGGTTGACAACTGAGAATATGTGACAACAAAGACTTTGTTAATTTCTCGTTGGATAAGAAATTAAAATAACAAAAACAAGAGAGAGAGAGAGAGAGAGAGAGAGAGAGAGTAGTGTGTAACAGGGGATTCGTTAATTGGTTGTTTGGTGTGAAAGGAGCTTTAGCGGCATATAGAAACCAGGTACGCAATTGACCACGTCAGCATGACTACATGGCGCAGCCTATATACTAATAGCAAGAAGTGTAGCAAGAAGTGCAAGAAACAGTCTGCAGTGGCGACCCTGGGAGCGAGTCCTTCGTAGAATCTTCTAGCCTTCTAGAAGATTCTCTCACATTTTCTTTTCTTACTTTTTGTCTGGTTTTTTTTTTTTGGGTGTAATGTTTTGGTAGTATGAAAGAGGAAACATCCAGGATGTCACAGAGTCAGCAGAAGATTAATCCACGGAAATTAATGCCAGTTAGGATTAAACAAAACGACTAATATTTCTAACACAACACCCTACTTCTGAGAAATTAAGTTTCCCCTTGTACAAGTCATTACCATCCATGTCTAGCGTGTGGGGTTATAGTAATTAATTGGCGCCATTGCATCAATCCTTCTCTTTGGAAATGTCTCACGTATAGGAGATATACAAATTTGAATGTTTCAAACCACGGCGTGATAATGATCAACTAGTTCTTAGTCTATTGGTATTTTTCTTCCCAATGGTGAAAGAGGTCCCAAGTTTGAAATCCCTCGTTCACACACCATGACGTAACACGTCAAGTACAATTAATGTATCTTATTTGATTATGTGAGTTGAACACACTTTCACATGCGCAATTTCGCATGTAATTAAGTAGTACTCGTGAGTCGTATTCAAAGTTTATCCTAAAATGTTAGGCAAAGAAGAGGTGCCTTCTCTTCTTTTTCTTCTTTAAGAAAAAGAGATGTCTATGAAATAGTATTTTAGCTAGGGTTGTTGTGCAAAACGTTGGCGTATGGAGGGTGGTGTTCTCTTTTACGTGTCTTACAATCAGGGGGCAAATTTGCCAAACTATGCCAATGTCATCATCTGCTGACGTGGGCTGCATATATACACAGAAATGGATTAGGATTTGGATGCTTACTCAAATTACTGGTAAGTAATTGTGTGCAATGGAAGGCAAACCCGTGAGTCTGACTGACTAAGCCAAGTGCAGAGGTGTCAAAGATGATCAAGTTGCAGCAGAAATTTAGAGTCTATCTTCTCTGCGTGACTCACTCATTGGGGGTTGTTGGAATTTTTCTGTGAAACTTAAGAAACGATGACCTTTCAGCTAATTAGTCCATGAAATGGTGCTTTGCAATTTGCAGACACTTCTTCTTCCTTCCATGAAAATGTCATGATATCAAAAAAAGGTGTTTTTTATATTTCAACCAATAAATATAAAATCATTTATATAAACCATCGGCGCCCAGTCAACTACCAAATATATATCTTACCTCTCAGACTTCCACTATATTAATTACGTACCGACCAAAAACATGACAATAACAAACTAATGACTTGCTTTGCATTAGTTCTCATCTCCAACCGTAATAGCAAATAAAACTCTTGATCAAATTGAAGTTTGTTGACTTACGTGGCAATTTGAAAAGCCTTATGTGCTACTTGAATACTTTTTGCTCCAACAAACTCTTCAATTCAATTAATGCAATATTATGAAAAATAATTAAAAATATGAAACAATGTGGAAAATGTCTATGTATTTATTAAAAGAAAAGAAAAAAAAATGCATGTTTTTAATATTTTCAAGGTAAGTTTTGTTTTTCCAAAGTAAAATTAAATGTTTGAAGAGCCAAAGTCAACTTACCCCGTCCTAAAGAGAGAGAAAGAGATTGCAGCTTTGATGACTAAAGTTGAAGAGGCTGTTGGAGAGGGTTTTTCTGATGCGGTTCACCTATTTTAGAATTCCAAAGCTTTCGGAAAAGATGTTGGAGATGCTCTTAGTACATTTTGATACAAACAAAATAGTCGACTACTCTATACGGGAATTGTGCTGAAGTGCAAGGAAACGAACTTATTATTTTGATCAAGTGGATTAAGCTACGTCTATATTTTTGCTTTTCATACGAATCTCTTTTGCTTTTGAATATCAAAGTCTATATTCTTAATCCCATTGTGATAGACTAGTCATATAGATTTTCGAAGTAATTATGCTTCCGCAATATTCGGTTGGAATGTTTCTCCTAGTTGTCATTTTAAGAGAAATTTCTTAACGCATAGTTGATTGTTTGGTTCTTATTCCCTTGCCTTGTTGGAAATCCTAGCCATGAAAATTATAATTAATCCGTGTTAAGTTGATTTTGTAGTCTTAGTCACATTCAAATCTTATCCAAAACCATTGATCGCATAAACAAAAGTTTTATTGGGACTAGGGTTGAATATAAGCAAAATAATTGGAAAGCCATTCCCAATTTGGTGAGATTAACAATGTATTTAGTTAATTTAGTAATCGATAATTATTCATACACGCGAGAACGATTGACGTGTTGATTGCCCAAATTCAATTAGAATAAATCAGTGAAAATCAATAAGTATGTTGAAATTCAAAGGGAACTTAAATACCAAAGAAGGGGATGAATCATGAACATACACACATTATTTGTGTCCGGATGGAAAAAAAGAGAAAGCAAAACAAAAAAAGGGGCCCGACTGAAGAAGAAGAAAAAGGACAGCATCTGTTAGAATGAACCAAACCAGATTTATGCTTCTGGGTCGAACACTTTGTTCTTATTGGGCTGTTAAATACAATGGGCTTAAAATAAAATTAAACGATCACATTTAATTGATCACAATTTTTTTGTTTTAAGAAATTTACTTAATCATTCCTTAAGCCAATAACTCTGCTCTATATATATGTGTGTATTTTCCAAACAAATATGTTATTAATAAATTCAAATAGAACCGTCGTTTAGGCACGCAATTAATTTCATATCTAGACATGTCAATGGATCGGATTTTGATATGAATATGAGAGAATCTATTAACTTAACAAATCAAATACAAATTAAACTTAATTTTATATGTATTTTTTTTTTTTTTTTTTTGGGTATGAACCACGAGGTGGTCCTGGATGGGCTCCAACTATGGGTCACCTTTAAGCCTTAACCACAACCTAGACTAATCCCCGCTCACACCGGGTCGGCCCGTAAGGGGTAAAGTGCTGGCCAAAGTGGTGACTCCGTACAAGAGCAGGGATCGAACCCCTGACTTCTCTTAAGGAATGAGAGTGCCGAACCAATCACACTAACCACCTTGGTTTATATGTATTCTTTTTAAGTAGAATGTGAAAGAGTAATTTGATTATTTTTTAAGTTAAAAACATTTAAGTAAATTTACTTATTTAAGTAACATAACATTACTTGTCAATTTATATAAACATTTTTGGCAAAAAAAAAAGTATATAAAATTTATTTACCAATATGAAATGAATTGGGTGATGAAATCAAACACCTAACGCATATTAAGTGGAGTGGTCAAACTAACATCATAAGTAAGCGTAAGTGGAAAATACCCTCGTTTGCGGCACGCGGTAAAACCGATGCACCCGATCAATCTTTGCAAGAAGGAATACATGTGGGAAAGCCTATAGAAACACGACACGTGTGCTATTCTACTCGTGCAGTTAAGCTGCGATCCACCACATTCCCATCTCCGAAGCTTCCAAACATTGCAAGCTGTCAACGGTCATGATTGTCCTCTAAAGCCACCAAATTCACAATGAGCTAAGATGCCCACGTGTACGGTTAGGATAACAGGGTTCATAAATGTAACAGTACAGAGCTCCCTACTCAATCTGTTGCCATAGTTAAAAAAACCCAAGCTCAGTTTCATATCTTACTCGTCATATTCATACATACCAGTCCTTCTCTCTCTTATTTCTCCAAAAACATAGAAAATAAAAAAATAAAAACAACAAGAAGGAAATTTCTGTGTTCCGGCGCGGGAAAATCTCACCGGCGACGGGTCCGGCGAAGGCACTCTTCTCGAACACTCTCTCATTCTTCTCAATTTCTAGGTTTTTGCCCCCATTGCTCTGTTTGTCGTGCTTATGTATAATTATGTATCTATGTGTATGTATAGGTTATTGAAAATTCAATTTGATCGTTTTGAGCTTTGTGTATTTTTCTTTATCCGTATCGTTCTGTGCCTACTCGCTGCGATCGAAGTTTAATTTTTCTGGGTTTTGTTTCTGCAGTGTAAGCAGAGGCTCTGAGCTTGGAGTTTGGACTTGCATGGATTGCGTTTTGGTTTCATCAGTGAATTTTATTGACGAAGCGGCGTCGTATAAGTTGCTTTGGGTTTGACAGAGAGTAACGGTTCGAGATTGGAGTGTGGGAGAAGCTGAGGTTGACAGTGTGGGAGCGAGTTCATTGAGTTAATGCTGAGGTGACTCAGTGAGCCTGTGTTAAAAATGGTAGACTCGAAACTCTGATTGAAGCTTTTTAATGCAAATGTCATATTGACATCTTGGCTTTATTTTTTTGGGGTTTTTCATGTTGTTGCACCTGAGAGGTATCTGACTTTTGATCAATGCTTGCTTTTCTTTGTGGGGTTGTTACTATTTTCTATACATTGTCCATCGAAGATTTTGTTGTTGTTTGGAAAATGGGTGCTTCTGTGTGTGTTGGTTCTTTGAGAAGATGAATCTTATAGTGAACCTAATCTGGTTTTAATTGTTTTCGAATATGAATGTTCTCTTAAATGAAAAAAAAAACAAAAAGAAAAAAGAAAAAAAGAGGATTGTATTTTGACTATATGTCAAATGGAAAGTCAAGTGTTTATTCTGTTATCTTTTTTTATTTACTATAGATTTATGGCATCTGGTATACATGCTTGACTTCTGGTGATGAGATTGATGATGATCTATTAGTTTCTTTCTTGCCTTAGTAATTACTAATTTACATCCATATAAATCAATTTAAAGTATCATAATGGAGTCTCATGTGAAGGTAAAGTGGGAGGTAACGACCTAAATTTCGCAGTGATAAAGAGGAACGGCTATATATATTTGGGGGGAGTAACATATCATGTATGAGCATGTTTGTCTTACAATTTCCCTTTGCCCGATGCTTAGTGGCTATATCCAGTGATTCTGGATCTCCACATTCACATTTGAGAGAGAAAAAATAACTAGACATCTGTTATCTAAGAGCATCGATTTTCTTCCTAGAATATGTTAATGGTTATTACTCAGTCGAAATAGCACAAGGCTCTCTTAGCTGTTAGCTAAGATGTCAAATCTTTGAACAGATATTATTAAAAGAATCTTCGTGTATAAGTAAAGGAGAGCACTTAGTTACTGTAGCATTGTGGTGATCCTTAGTGGGGTTTCATTAAGTTGCGGTGATCAGTTAAGAATTATTGCAACTTTGCATTGTAGAATAACTTGTGTAACCTAGATTGAAAAGAGTGTGGCATCAACATCAAGAATGAAATGAGCTAGATCGTTTCTGTTCACTTTAAGATTCTAGTATCTTTTATTTTTCATCCAAAATTAAGGAGCTAACATAGGATTTGTGCATTTATTGATGTTTCATCCCACAATTTTTAATAGGATGTGTCATTTCCTCGTTAAGCACAGCTGGAAATAAATATTAGTCATTGACAAAGCACATTTATACATTTTGGTGGTCATGTACATTTTTCTTAACCAATTAGTTAACTTGGCAACTTGGGGAAGAAACAGTCATGGTTAGATGTATTTGATCATACTAGCTCAGGAAGCTTTGGATCTTTAAGTTGATGATGGAAAACGTGATCTAATGAGGAGTGATGTGATGTAAAGGTGGTCCATGAGGCGAATAAATGCCTATTAATTTTCTTAGAATAGTCTCTAGTCTCTACAATTAGTAACAACTTGCTCTGCTTTTTTCCAAATTCAGCCTATTGTTTTTCGTGTCATTGCTTTTTGTTCTTGCAATATAATTATTGTACAAATGTAGTTTGAAAAACCATGCATGCATATTAGGAACTTGTACTCTGACGTTGAATACTGTTAAGGAAATTTTTTCTTTCCATTCCATAAAAAAAATGATTTCTCTCCAAGTCATTTTTGCGTTGTGCAGGGAAAGATTTAATGCTTCAGGGCATAGCTGATTTGGACAGATTTCAAAGGAACTTTATTAATAATTTCATTGTTATGGCAAAGATCTAGGTGTTGGCAACAAATGTTGCCAATTTCTTCTAAACGGAATTAACTTTTCATAATATTCCATTTTGCGAAGTCCTTTGATATTTGAAATGATGCATTCATTTGGTTGTGTAGGATAATATCTCTGGTGTCCAAAACTATTTAAAGATAAGCTCTTTCTGCATCGTGTGTGCCTATTTTCTTGGAAACTATGAATCATGTACGGTTTCTTTTGATCGCGCTTCAAGTTCAATCTTAAGTCATGCTGTACAATTGATCTGCTTATCCTCACGCTTGCGTTTAAATTTCTCCTCTGTTTCTGGATGCTATTATTTTAATGAAGATGTCTGTGTTTTGCATCCCATTTCCTCTTTCTAGGCTACTGTTCTTATTTTAACATTCTATCATGTAATCTAAAAAGTATTTATGTTTTTGCAGTCGTTCCAACCCAAAAGTTTTTGGATTCCGAGAGATGCTAGCTGTCTAGCTGATGGAGAGATGGGTTATGATAATTCTTCCAGAATAGAATCAAAGCGTGGTAACCGGTGGTTTATGGATTCCAATGGGCCGGAATTCTTCAACAACAAGAAGCAAGCAATGGAGGCTGTTAATGGCAGGCCTGTTTCAGGAGTTCCACATTTGGCTATTTCCCCTTGGGATAACACTTCAGGGTTTCAGTCAGTTCCAGGACAATTCACTGATCGCATTTTCGGATCTGAGCCAGTACGGACAGTCAACCTAGGTGACAGGAACATTCAATCTGTTGGAAGTGAAAATATGAATTTGGGAAGAAAGAGTTTCGAGAATCAATATGGAAATGATCCATCAGTGGGTTTGTCAATGTCTCACACCATCGAAGATCCCTCATCATGTCTCAATTTTGGTGGAATCAGAAAAGTTAAAGTCAATGAAGTTAGGGACTCTGATGATGTCGTGTCTGCATCTATGGGGCACTCCTACTGTAAGGGAGACAGTAATACAATGTCAATGGGTAACACCTATAATAAGAGCGATGACAACGCCATATCGTTGGGTTCGGCTTATAATACTGGCGAAGAGAATGCAATCTCAATAGGACCTTCCTTTAACAAGGCAGATGATAATTTCATTTCAATGGGTCATACCTTCAGTAAAGCCAATAGCAATTTCATATCAATGGCTCATAATTATAACAAGGGAGATAATAGTATCTTATCAATGGGTCAGCCTTTTGACAAGGAGGATGGCAACTTTATATCAATGGGTCAGTCATATGAAAAGGGAGATAGCAGTTTCATATCATTAGGTAACTCGTACCACAAAGGGCATGAGAATTTTATTTCTATGGGTGCAACATATGGTAAAGCAAATGAGAATTTCATCTCAATGGCTCCCACCTATGATAAGCAGCCTGATAATATTATGTCAATGGGCCCAAACTATGACAAGGCTGATTCGAATGTTGTGCCAATAGGTCCTCCCTATCATAAAGGAGAAAGCAATGTATCTATGAGTCACAATTACAATAAGAATGAGAGCACCACCATATCTTTTGGAAGTTTCCATCATGAAACTGACACAAATCCTTCTGGCGGGATCATCAGCAGCTATGATTTGTTGATGAGCAATCAAAACACAGCTGAGCAATCAGAAGAATCTGGTCTGAAGGATCCGGTTCAGTCAAACATGGATCCAAATGTAGATGACACTCTCAAACTTGATTCTAAAACTGATACCGTTTCCAAAATTAAGGAGCCAAAGACTGCTAGGAAAGCTCCTCCAAACAACTTCCCTTCAAATGTCAAAAGTTTATTGTCCACTGGTATGTTTGATGGGGTTCCGGTGAAGTATGTTTCCTGGTCACGGGAGGTAAGCTTATCTATCTGTTGATCTTTCTGATTTTGGTGACAGGTGATTCAATATTCTGTATTAGTTTTCCTTGTTTTGACTTGTATATGTTATCTTCTGCAGAAAAACCTCAAAGGAATCATAAAAGGGACCGGGTATCTATGTTCCTGTGATGACTGCAATCACTCAAAGGTAATGATCTCTTGTTTGATTCAGCTGCTTTGAAGTAAGAAGTAATGACTTTTTTTTATTTGAGATATATAACTTAGCTGGCAAATTGGATTGTATCATGCAGTCTCTCAATGCTTATGAGTTTGAACGTCATGCTGGTGCTAAGACCAAGCATCCCAATAATCACATCTACTTTGAGAATGGAAAGACCATCTATGCAGTAGTTCAAGAGCTGAAGAACACTCCTCAGGAGATGCTGTTTGATGCCATTCAAACTGTGACAGGGTCTCCTATTAATCAGAAGAATTTCCGGATCTGGAAAGGTGATGCAAAATTTTAGATGATTTTTGGATGACCTCTTTAACACAAACTTGAAATGTGATATCCTTACCATTTATGTTTATTGATGTTGTGAAAATTGCTCTCATATAGTTCCCTCTTTTTGACTTTCTTCAGCATCATATCAAGCCGCCACCCGTGAACTTCAGCGTATCTATGGAAAAGACGAAGTTGCTATACAATCTTGATGCGAGAATCTTCCTCATTAACTTTTTGGGGGGTAGATGGGATTGCATAGCACCATACAAAAGCTTATAGTAAATTACTAAATTATAGACTGCAAATTTGAATATTGGAGCTGGTGGATGTTTACAGGTATTTTGGCTATGTGAAATAGTTCATATTGAAAGTTAATTATTTTTGGATGGTGGACAGTTTACAAAATTTTGTATGCGTGTTTATTTTTCACCCTGAAAATCTATGAACCAAACATCCATAGTTATCGAGACTGGAT